GTAAATGGTCTTCTAAAACAAGACCAATAATAATCTTAGAGGAACAGAATAGAATCCAGAATTGCCACAATGTCTAGGATCCAAAACAAACTCATCAAGAAAGAGGAGAATGTGACCCACCCTTAAGGGAAAATATAATCACTAGAGGCCAACCTTAAGATGACCCTGATGTTAGAATTATCATGCAATGACTTTAGAGCAGTTATTATAAAACTAATATACTCAATGGTATAAAAAATGCTTATAACGAATAAAAAGATTTTTAAAAAACTCAGCAGAGAAATCAAAACTATAAAAAAGGAACCAAATGGTAATTTTAGACCTAAAAATATATCTAAAATAAAACTTTTACTAGATAAGCTTAATAGTATAATGGAGATAGAAAAGCAAAGACTCAGTAAACCCGAAGATGGATCAAAAGAAATTGTTGATTCCCAGGCAAGATGGCCAAATAGGAATAGCTTCAGTCTGCAACTCACAGTGAGACCCAATGCAGAAGGCAGGTGATTTCTACATTTCCAACTCAGGTACCTGGTTCATCTCACTGGGACTGGTTAGACAATGGGTGCAGCCCACAGAGGATGAGTAGAAGCAGGGTGAGGCATCACCTCACCAAGGAAGTGCAAAGGGTTGGGAAACTCCCTCCCCTAGCCAAGGGAAGCCATGAGGAACTGTGCCGTGCAGGATGGTGCTATCCGGCCCATGTACCATGCTTTTTCCGCAGTCTTCGCAACCCACAGACCAGGAGATCCCCTTGAGTGGCTACAGGACAAGGGCCCAGGGTTTCAAGCAAAAACCTGGGTGGTTGTTTGAGCAGACATTGAGCTAGCTGCAGGAGGTTGTTTTTTTCTTCCATACCCCATGGGCGCCTGGAACAACACAAAGACAGAACCATTCACTACCCTGGAAAGTGCACTGAGGCCAGAGAGCCAAGTGGTCTTGCTCAGCACAGAGCTCAGCAAGCTAAGATCCACTGGCTTAAAATTCTTCCCTAGCAAACTCCAGCAGACCTGCAGAACAGGGGCCTGTTAGAAGAAAACTAACAAACATGAAGCAATAGCATCAACATCAACAAAAAGGATGACCACGCAAAACTACATCTGAAGGTCACCGACAGCAAAAGGCAAAGGTAAATAAATCCACACATTACATAATGACAACGGGATCAATGCAACAAGAAAAGTTAACTATTCCAAATATATATGCATCCAATAAGGAGCACCCAGATTCATAAAGCAAGTTCTTAGAGACCTACAAAGAGACTTAAACCCCCCACACAATAATAGTGAGGGACTTTAACACTCCACTGTCAATATTAGACAGATCAATGAGATAGAAAATTAACAAGGATATTCAGGACTTGAACTCAGCTCTGGACCAAGTGGACCTAAAAGACATCTACAGAACTCTCTACCTCAAATCAACAGAATATACATTCTTCTCAGAACCACACAGCACTTATTCTAAAACTGACCACATAATTGAAAGTAAAACACTCCTCAGCAAATGTAAAAGAACAGAAATTGTAACAGTCTCTCAGACCGCAGTGCAATAAAATTAGAACTCAGGATTAAGAAACTGACTCAAAACCGCACAACTACATGGAAACTGAACAACCTGCTCCTGAATGACTACTAGGTAAAAAACGAAATTAAGGTAGAAATAAAGATGTTCTTTGAAACCAATGAGAACAAAGATACAACGTACGAGAATCTCTGGGACATATCTAAATCAGTGTTAAGAGAGAAATTCACAGCACTAAAATGCACACAGGATAAAGTAGGAAAGATCTAAAATCGACACCCTAACATCACAATTAAAAGAACTAGAGAAGCAAGAGCAAATAAACTCAAAAGCTAGCAGAAAGTAAGAAATAACTAAGATCAGGGAAGAACTGAAGGAGATAAAGACACAAAAAACCTTTCAAAAAAAAACAATCAATGAATCCAGGAGCTGGTATTTTGAAAAGATTAACACAATAGACCACTAGCAGACTAATAAGGAAAGAGAGAATAAGCAAATAGACACAATAAAAAATGATGAAGGGGAGATAACTACTGATTCCACAGAAATACAAACTACCATTGGAGGATACTATAAACACTTCCATGCCAATAAACTACAAAATCCAGAAGAAATGGATAAATTCCTGGACACATACACCCTCCCAAGAGTAAGCAAGGAAGAAGTCCAATCCCTGCATAGACCAATACATAACAAGTTCTGAAACTGAGGCAGTAATTAACAGCCTACCAACCAAAAAACGCCCAGGACCAGAGGGTTTCACAGCCGAATTCTACCAAAGGCACAAAGAGGAGCTGGTACCATTCCTTGTGAAACTATTCCAAATAATATAAAAAGAGGGACTCTTCCCTAACTCATTTCGTGAGACCAGCATCATCCGATTCCAAAACCTGGCAGAGACACAACAAAAAAGAAAATTTCAGGCCAATATCCCTGATGAACGTCGATACAAAAATCCTCAATAAAATACTGGCAAACTGAATCCAGCAGCACATTAAAAAGCTTATCTACCACAATCAGGTTGGCTTCATCCCTGGGAGGCAAGACTGGTTTGACATATGCAAATCAATAAACATAATCCATCACATAAACAGAACCAATGACAAAAACCATATGATTATCTCCATAGATGCAGAAAAGGCTTTGGCAAAATTCAACACCTATTCATGCTAAAAACATGAACTTTCTTCGCCGGGCGCGGTGGCTCAAGCCTGTAATCCCAGCACTTTGGGAGGCCGAGGCGGGTGGATCACGAGGTCAAGAGATCGAGACCATCCTGGTCAACATGGTGAAACCCCGTCTCTACTAAAAAAAATACAAAAAATTAGCTGGGCATGGTGGCACATGCCTGTAATCCCAGCGACTCAGGAGGTTGAGGCAGGAGAATTGCCTGAACCCGGGAGGCGGAGGTTGCGGTGAGCCGAGATCGCGCCATTGCACTCCAGCCTGGGTAACAAGAGTGAAACTCCGTCTCAAAAAAAAAAAAAAAAAAAAAAAAACCATGAACTTTCTTCACAAAATCAGAAAAAACTACTTTAAGTTTCATATGGAACCAAAAAAGAGCCCAAATAGCCAAGACATTCCTAAGCAAAAAGAACAAAGCTGGAAGCATCACATACCTGACTTCAAACTGCACTACAATACTACAGTGACAAAAATAGCATGATACTGGTACCAAAACAGATATACAGACCAAGAGAACAGAACAGAGGCCTCAGAAATAACGCCACAGATCTACAACCATGTGATCTTTGACAAACCTGACAAAAACAAGCAATGGGGAAAGGATTTCCTGTTTAATAAATGGTGTTGGGAAAACTGGCTAGCCACATGCAGAAAACTGAAACTGGACCCCTTCCTTATGCCTTATGCAAAAATTAACTCCAGATGGATTAAAAATTGAAATGTAAGACTTAAAACCATAAAAACACTAGAAGAAAACCTAAGTAATACCATTCAGGACATAGGTATGGGCAAAGACTTCATGACTAAAACACCAAAAGCAACTGCAACAAAAGCCAAAATTGACAAATGGGATCTAATTAAATTAAAGAGCTTCTGCACAGCAAAAGAAACTATCATTGGAGTGAACTGGTAACGTACAAAATGGGAGAGAAAACTTTTGCAATCTATCCATCTGACAAAGGGCTAATATCCAGAATCTACAAAGAACTTAAACAAATTTACAAGAAACAAACAAACGACACCATCGAAAAACGGGCAAAGGATATGAACAGACACTTTTCAAAAGAAGACATTTATGCAGTGAACAAACATATGAAAAAATGCTCATCATCACTTGTCATTAGAGAAATGCAAATCAAAACCACAATGAGATACCACCTCGTGGCAGTTAGAATGACAATCATTAAAAAGTCAGGGAACAACAGATGCTGGAGAGGATGTGGAGAAACAGGAATGCTATTACACTGTTGGTGGGAATGTAAACTAGTTCAATCATTGTGGAAGGCAGTGTGGCACTTCCTCAAGGATCTAGAAATAGATATACCATTTGACCCAGCAATCCCATTACTGGGTATATACCCAAAGGATTATAAATCATTCTATTATAAAGACACATGCACACACGTTTATTATGGCACTATTCACAATCGCAAAGACCAGGAACCAACCCAAATGCCCACCAATGTTAGGCTGGATAAAGAAAATGTGGCATATATACACCATGGAATACTATGTAGCCATAAAAAAGGATGAGTTCATGTCCTTTTCAGGGACATGGATGAAGCTGGAAACCATCATTCTCACCAAACTAACACAATAACAGAAAATCAAACACCGCATGTCCTCACTCACAAGTTGGGAGTTGAACGGTAAGAACGTGGGCACAGGGAGGGGAACATCACACACCGGGGCCCGTTGGGAGGCAGGGGGCAAAGGGGAGAGATAGCATTAGGAGAAATACCTAATGTAGATGTTGCAGCTATTAAAACAGCAGTTATTATCGTATTTCAAAATATTCTGCTGTGACTCTTCTGGTAAATATATTTATTTTGGTTAGATAAAATGCTGACAATTACAAAAGAGGATGAATGGTACAACTGCACGGGGTGATTAAAGAATTTGAATAGCTAAGTGTATTAAAACTCTAAAAGCTATATACCTTCAACTAAATTCTAGGAAGGACATGCTGAGGTGACAAAAGGGATTTTTCACTTCTTTACACACTTCTGCGTTGTTTGGATTTTCTAAAATAAACATGCATTATCTCTATAAGCAACAAAAACAATAAAAACATTCCATTTAGGGAGAAAAACAGCTTTCTAAACAATTAAATCATTCTCAAATCATTCAATTTAGATTCATTCTGTTTAGATTATTTATCATTGTTCTCAAAATGTACCATGGTTTTTCTTGAGAGACAGCACATATATACCCCTCTCTTCTTTCATTCCTGTGTGTTTCACATCCCGGCTGTCTTTCAAAAAGAAATAATAACTATTGCCTTTACATACCTGGTGGAGGAAACGTCAACCTACGGTCCTGTTCCCATGGAGGTGACAGGGACCCGGTGTCAGAAGGAGCCCTATGAGGATCAGTTAACCTATCACAGCTTGATTCTCCTCTTTCACTGGTAATCTGATGGTCCAGAGGATTCCCTGGGCCTCTTGAGCCTAATTAAAGAAAAAAATATACAAATTTGTTTCATCTTAAAAAGTCATATACTTGTTTTACACATAAAATCAGTGGTTAAATCATAAGTTATAAATACGAAATCTGAAAAGTAAGGGTTTAGAAAGTAAATTGCTATAGTGATTCCTATGCCAGATGTAGCAGGATAATTAAAGTGATTATAATAAATGATTAAATAAAAAATATATGAAATAATAAAAATAAATGAATATAAAATATAACCATTTTTAAAAATAAATGATTTTCTTGCTTAAACTAATATTACAATAATCCAAATGGGCATGATTTCTTTAAAACAGTCATCTTAGCAGTTATATATCTATTTTAGTAATTTTCCTACTATTTAAAGTATCTTTCAGAAAAACTCTTTTGGAAATGCACTGAGATTAACTTAAGAGCCATGCAGGCCGGGCCCAGTGGCTCACACCTGTAATCCCAGCACTTTGGGAGGCCGAGGCAGGCAAATCACAAGGCCAAGAGGTCAAGACCATTCTGGCCAACTTGATGAATCCCCGTCTCTACTAAAAATACAAAAGTTAGCTAGGTGTGGTGGCACACATCTGTATTCCCAGCTACTCGGGAGGCTGAGGCAGGAGAATCACCTGAACCTAGAAGGCAGAGGTTGCAATGAGCCAAGATCACACCACTGCACTCCAGCCTGGCAACAGAGCAAGACTCCGTATTTAAAAAATAAATAAATAAATAGCCCCCCATGCAAAAAATTGCATCTCAATATTAAAACATGACTCTCCACTTCCACCCAAATTCAATGAGTAGTGTTAAGAGTCAATGAGAAGATAAGAAACACTTCTGCCCAAAAACGATTTTAACTAGCCTGATTTAAAACATTACATACAACAGATAAATTGGCTTTATATGGCTTTCAGTAATTTCTAAATATCAAATTCACATTCAAAAGGAGAATTCATAAGTTCTGAAGACAAGTCTAAAACAATAGTTTCAAAAAAAAACAGCACTGTTGAAATAATCACTTTAAATGAGCTAATATTCATTTGGATAAGAAAATCTGGTAAGTTTACATTTATAAAGGGGTGAGTAATTTTAAAGTCCCCTTCTGATGACCGCAGAAAAGATAGTACCTTAATTTAAAACCCATATTCAGGGCCAGGCACAGTGGCTCACACCTGTAATCACAGCACTTTGGGAGGTTGGGGAGGGCAGATCACCCGAGGTCAGGAGTTTGAGACCAGCCTGGCCAACATGGTGAAACGCCATCTCTACTAAAAGTACAAAAATTAGCCAGGTATGGTGGCAGGTGCCTATAATCCCAGCTACTAGGGAGGCTGAGGCAGGATAATCACTTGAACTCAGGAGGAGGAGGCTGCAGTGAACCAAGATCGTGCCACTGCACTCCAGCCTGGGTGACGGAGTGACACTCCATCTCAAAAAAAATAAAATAAATAAAATAAAACCCATATTCAATTAAAATGGAAAAGACAAATATAAAAAAATGTTTTAACATTCATAACATACATTAATACCTCATTTATCTGTCACTGAGGGGGAAAAGGGGTCTTCTCAAAATTATATTGTCCAGGAAACAAAAGCTTATTATTCTCAAGAACAGCAAGGCAGGGTGTCACTGTTTCCCAGACTGGAGTGCAGAGGTGCGATTCTCAGCTTACTGCAACCTCCATCTCCTGGACTCAAGCAATCCTCCCACCTCAGCCTTACAAGCAGCTGGGACACCAGGCATGTGTAACCACACTTTGCTAATTGCTGTATTTTCTGTAGATACAGGGTTTTGCCATGTTATCCAGGCTGGTCTCAAACTCCTGGGCTCAAGCAATCCCTTCACTTTGGCCTCCCATATTACTGGGATTATAGGTGTAAGCCACTGCACCCAGAAAACAATTTTTTTTTTTTCAATAAAAGTCTAAGGGCCAGGCACAGTGGCTCATGCCTATAATCCCAGCACTTTGGGAGGCCAAGGCAGGTGGATCACGAGGACAGGAGGTTGAGACTATCCTGGCCAACACGGTTAAACCCCGTCTCTACTAAAAACACAAAAAAGTTGGCTGGGCATGGTGGCGCATACCTGTAGTCCCAGCTACTTGGGAGGCTGAGGCAGGAGAATTGCTTGAACCCAGGAGGCAGAGACTGCAGTGAGCCGAGATCGCGCCACTGCACTACAGCCTGGGTGACAGTGAGAGACTCCGTCTCAAAAAAAAACAAAAAAGCTAGCTAAAACGGCTGGGCGCAGTGGCTCATGGCTATAATCCCAGCACTTTCAGAGGCCGAGGTGGGCGGATCACCTTAAGTCAAGAGTTCAAAACCAGCCTGGCCAAGACAGTGAAACCCATCACTACTGAAAATACAAAAATTAACCGGGTGTAGTGACATGCGCCTATAATCCCAGCTACTCTGAAAGCTGAGGCACAGGAATCGCTGGAACCCAGGAAGCAGGGGGTTGCAATGAGCAGAGATCGCCACTGCACTCCAGCCTGGGCAACAGAGTGAGGCTATCTCAAGAATAAGTAAATAATAAAAAAGAAGTCTAGGCCAGGCACGGTGGCTCAGGCCTGTAATCCCAGCACTTTGCGAGGCCGAGGTGGGCGGATCACAAGGTCAAGAAATTGAGACCATCCTGGCCAACATGGTGAAACCCTGTCTCTACTAAAAATACAAAAATTAGCTGGGCATGGTGGCATGCACCTGTGGTCCCAGCTACTCAGGAAGCTGATGGGGAAGAATCGCTTGAACCCAGGAGGCAGACGTTGCAGTGAGCTGAGATTGTACCTCTGTACTCCAGCCTGGCAACGGAGCAAGACTCCGTCTCAAAAAAAAAAAAAAAAAAGTTTAACGAAAATGCTTACTCCATTTCAGTACTTCCTTTAAGAGAAGAAACCAAAATTAATTTTAACTTCTCTTGGTAACTTGTACAAATCAGCATAAGCATTCATGCTTAATATATAATAATCTTCAAAACAAATTTTCCATCTACTCCCTTTAGTAGAATCAGATCAACTGGTTTTTAAATCAGGAAGTAAACTACCATTTTTCCTTATGGGTATACATTCTATTAAACTCCCCAAATCTTTCCTTCTAGCTTCTTCATCCTAATAATTAGCTCATTAGAAGAAGAAGGCTGGGAAAACAGAAAATGTGCAAGCATCAGTCAGGCTGAGTTCATCTGGAATGAGGCACAGATATTTAAAGGTAACATTCAAAGGCTTTCCCTCCTGATTGCTTACTTCCAGAAGACCAGAGCTACAGGCCAACTGACTACCTGTGAAAATTACAAACCTGAAAATACTACTGATTAAAGTTTTCTATTCAAACCAAAAGTTACACACAATGTGTTCTAAAAAGAAATTGTTCTACTTATACTCAATATTATTCAAATGTATCACTCATCCAAACTTCAAATTAAAAAGATAGTAAAAGTAAGGAAAACAATGGGTACTCTCCAACCTCCTTTGGTGGATCATATAAACTTTTAGTTCAAATTAACTCTGTAAGAACCAATGACAACTTACCTAGAACTTCTGTAGCTTTTTAAACAAATAGTAAAACACCCTTGCAGATAATCTAAACACACTGTATCTTTAAATTGAATAGGAGAGGAGATAGAAGAGGAGAAATCAAAGGTAAATTTTAATCATTTCAAATATTCAATTGACTACAAGCAATCCTTGACTTATGTAATTCGATTTCCAGTGATTTGTATTTGCAGTTTAGCCAATTATGCCCTTTATCTAGGGCACTGTTTTTTTCAGACTGCTAGCTCCTACTCATTTGTGATGTGTGAAATTTTAAAAATAATGCTAATTAATGAAACAAGATAAAACCGAATAGAAAGCAACAAAACTGTATGGTAAGTACTATTATATGTAGCAGGTTTCAATTATATTTATGTTGGTGTGCAATATGACATACTATAAAATGCTTTTCTTGGTGTGAGTCAAGGTAAAAAATGGAGGGTTGTGGATGGACTTAGGGAACTAAGTCCTAAGCTTGCAGCAGGCATGTCAAAATCAGTCCCTTTCCTAAAGTGCTTAATGCAAAACCTCCCTTAGGCTGTAAGTATCAGTCTATAGGGCAGTCCCTTTCCCTAGGAGCTTCCAGTTCAAAAGCAACACAAGCAAAGACTCTGAAGGGACCCCAGGCTGTGGCCTAATCTACAGGGGCGACTGGGAGGTAGACGAGAACAGCTCTAAGTGTAGCAAAATGAGGCTGGAGAAAGAGGATACAAACAACATATGGGCAAAGGGAGACTATCTCATGACCATAGAGTAGAAAGTTGATTTTTCTCATATTCTTTGAAAACAATTTCAAAAGAAGAGTTCCAAAAGTATTTGGAATAACGGCAGCTTCAACTAACAAGTACAGAGACTTCCTGAGATACTATTTAGATGAGTAATAGCCAACTGAGTATATGAATTTTGACTTGTTGGATTTAATTTGTTGTTTTTATTTAGATTTATTACTTTATGTTCCTATCTCAAATTCAATCTGCTAAAATCACTGATAAAAAGAGTGAAAACGTTTCACTTGTGAAGAAGTAATCAGCTCTTATAAAACGCAGACTTGGAACAGAAAATGTAAGACTTTTGATTTTGGAATAAATAGGGCTCTGTATCTCTCAATTTCGCCACAAATTAACAGAAAACTTTAAAACAACTTGACAAAGTAAGTATGGTGGGAGATCAAAAAAGGAAAACTCCAGGTACACAGGAGTTTTCAAAGATACTAGGGCCTTTTATAACACCAGGGTAATGTTGATGAGATAAATGCAGAATAGCTAATGCTTAGGGGCCTGAGGTAGCTACAGAAATTCTCAACTACACATAAGGGGTTGACATCAGACAATCCTGGCTGGTTTCACAATGTATTAACAAATGATTTAGACCACAGTAGAGGTTCCCATCAAAAATCTGCCTACAAGAAGAGCACTACTGATTTCCTTGAGTCTATAAAAAGATTCTTTCACTTTCTAATTTTCTGCAATAAAAAGCTCATGATACTAATGTAAATTTTTTTAATTCCAAATTTTAATGTTTCATCAAAATATAATTTTATGGTGGCTCACACCTGTAGTCCCAGCACTGTGGAAGGCTGAGGAGGGTGGATCACCTGAGGTCAGGAGTTAAGAGACCAGCCTGATCAGCCAAGGTAGCAAAATCTATTTCTACTAAAAATACAAAAAAAAATTAGCCAGATGTGGTGGCATGTTCTTGTAATCCCAGCTATTCGGGAGACTTAAGCAGGAGAATTGTTTGAACCTGGGAGGTGGAGGTTGCAGTGAGCCGAACTCGCACCACTGCACTCCAGCCTGGGCAACAAGAGTAAAAACTCCGTCTCAAAAAATACATATATATACACACACACACACACACACACACACATATAACACACACACACACACACACACACACGTATATATATATATATTTTTTTATAGATACACATATATATGTATATATATGTAATTTTATGCTAGGTTATACTGTTATTGTATTTTATGTAGTCAGAAAATTTTATATTACATCGTGTAATATATTGTTTTTAAGAAGTCAAAAATATGGTTTAAAAAGATACATATCAAATCCTTGATCAAAATGTAATCTAATATAGCACTGTTTCTAAGAGAAAAATATATTAAAATTAGATGTCAGAGCTAATTTTCCAAATAAAAGTTATTTCCAATAAGTGCAAGGAATGCCTATATTTTCCAAATGTTTACAGATCATTTTTAAGGTACGGTGAAATGAAAATATAAAGTAAGGAAGAAATCTAGAGTAATAAAGATGTTTAAACAATATACCTCTTCCTCCTCCCCCTGGAAGCAAAGGTGAGAGTCTGAGTGGACCCTCCAACAAAGTTGGAGGAGAGAGAAAAGCTCTCGTTTCAGATGAAGGCCGACCCAATGGTGAGGGACCATATGGGGAATGCTCTGGAATAATTAAAACAGCATATTTAAATTCATAGTTTCACTTAGCTACACTATAGAGTTAGAATCCCATTTCAATAATTACCATCAGGTCATCGTGTTGCCAATTTAAGTTTATTCCATGTCCTGAACATATCCTTTGCTTTTGCTAATATAGAACAGAATTAAATATAGAGTCTGGTGTTTTCTTTATTTGTCTACCAACTAGACACTTTAACCAATAAAAACATCAACGTATTGGGAATTAATACACTTAAATAATCATTTATATTAAGCAAAGGATATTAGAGATATGTTTTAGAGTTACAGAAGGATATGGGGAGCATACAGTTTGATTTTTTGTTTTCACTAGGAGTAAAAACATCCAGACATTTCAGTTGTGTTGCAGTTCTCACTGCAACACAGAAGTACTCAGTTTAAATCAGGACCAGATAGGCTGTATTGAGCCATGAATGGTTTGAATAATACTCAGATTATGAAAAGGAGAAAAATGCATAAAATACTCTGAAGCTAGACCACAAATTACTTTTGATTCATTACCAGTAAAAAGTCAGTTTACAATACTGATTTATCAAATAAATCACTTTATCTATGATCTATATAGCCAAGACACATACCACTTTACAAACTTCACCACTCTCAAATAATGGTTTTGTTTCCAAGGTCAATAATCAAAAACAAAATACAAACAAACTTAAACAGCAACAAAATAACATTTTTAAAACATGTTAAATTTAAAACATTGGTGTAGCTGGTATTCAAACCAGCTACAAGAAAAAATCAAAGCATTATTTACCCTCCCTGAAACTTCTGTGTTGGATTCAAACAAACAACTATCCTTTTGTATATTTCACCCCAAACCAAACTTTGTTACTACCTAAAATTCTTAATAATCTCATATTTTTTAATGTAGAAAGACTTTCGTTTTAATGAAATTTTACTCTCAAAAGTGATTTTCATAACTTTCCAAAGATTATTAAAATGGGACTCTACCTATATATAGATTTTCACTACCTCAGAAGCTTAATTCCAATTCAACCGAAACTGTTATGAAAAAATTTAAACTGTTTGCAAAAGTTTGAGAGTATTGCAGACCCTAACTTAACAATGGACAGAAATGTTAAATATGTCTTACAAAAAATTGGTCCTCCCTTGAAGGTAATTAAAGCAATCGAAACTCATATTGAGGTTTTCCCACCTTTTAAATTAATACTTTTAAATAATTAAAAACTATTTTTAATTATTAAGCAAGCAAATTTCAATGTATAATTAATAGGTAAACAGTCACAATGCTATTCCATGTAAGCACTCCTTATTCATTCAATCTCCCGGAAAACTGTTAATGAGTACCTTAGTATATGCCAAGCACCTGGCTTTTCAAGGAGCTCAAGGTACTAAATATATATCATTTTACAAAATCCTACTGAGCAATGAAAGCAACAATGACTTTCATTATTCCTCGGGAAACAAAACCTGGAAACTTGGAAGTCTCTGAGAGAGCTTAGACTAGAACCTTGGTTCCAAAATCTAAAATATTTATATAAATAACAAGGTTAACTTACACTAATAGAAACTATATGTGCTATATATATATATATGTAAAATATGTATTTTAAATGAGGGGTTAAAAAAAAAGACTACCTCTGCCAAATGCTGTATTTGGAACATCAAGTGCATAAGGATCTTTTTCTAAAAGTTCAAATTTAAACTCTGTTTCAGTTAATCTGCAAATAAAGAATAAACATCTCTAAGTTACTCATCCAAGAGAAGCACCCACATTTCAAGAAAAATGCCACTACCAAGTACAAGCTGCTCTTCACTATCTTAATATCTGCACAGAATAAACAGATCCTCTAAAATTATTCTGACCAAAACACCTGTATCTCCCACTGCTTATTAACCGGAGTAACCAGTTTCTTGCTGCCCTAGGGACAGTGATGTTTTGTGGAGCCTTAGAATTGTTTTGTTTCTTCTTCAAAACTAGACTACCATGAGTACTATATCAAAAAACCAAATTTTTGAAATACAAGAGTCCTCCAAGGTCAACCAGTTCAAGTCTGTCATTTTACAACTAAGGAAACTGAGGCTAGGAGTTTAAATGATTTATTCACAATGAAAGTGCCAGAATGAAGACACAGGTCCTGGCTCTGGGTCATGTATGCTTTCCATTGTAATGTGATTCATATGATTCCAGTTGTAACACTGGAAATCCTACTATCTTACTCGTAAACTTTTTATCCTACAAATGTGATATTTTAAAATAATCTATTTCTTGATTTCTAGTTCTTAATCATCAGATCTGAAATAAAACACTTAATAATTTGATTTTAATTTCTGTGACTAGAAAAAACAGGCAAGAGGACTAAAAACTAATACTGGATAATGTTAATAGTACCTTTTGGCAAGAAATTACAACGCTCTAAGAAGACTGTTACCATCTTCATAGAAAAGCATTTATTCTTCCCTGGTATTGTACATTGTAGACATTTATTCTACCTTTCATTTTATTATTGTAAAACAATGTCACCCAATATTATAAAACCAGGAAATTAGAGAAATTAACGAATATTATCCTATCTACTTATGCATTAAAAGATGCTGATATTCTGGGCATTCCTACGGCAAAGAGATTCATCCTTTCTCTTTTTAACCATTTTTACCTGCCTCCAACTACACTGGTTTAAAAAAATTTTAGTTATACTTTTTACAGAAGAATCTTTGAACAATTTCCCCCAAATGCCACTTCAGTGACCTAAGACAAGTACTTCAACAAACAAACAAAAAAAAAACTAGTCATTCCTAGTAAAACTAAAAGATATTTTATGAGATATGCTGGATTCACTGCAAGTTTTCTTATTTAACCTTATAAAAGTATTACCTAATTAATGAAATAACGGTAAGAATAATAACTAATTTAAAGTGTTCCCACTAAGATACTTACTTTTGTCTGCTGTGAGCATTTTCTTTCCTTAAATCATTGAGGTTTCTTTCAGCAGTTCGAGCTGCCATCTTCAAGAAAATAACACATTTTAAAAATACATTTATATAAACTTAGAAAATAAGCAGAAATATGTCAATGTAAATATTCATTAATTTAAAAAAAACAAATATCACAACAATGGCATACAAATCATCATCAATTAAGTAAGAAAAATCGTAAGACTTAGACTCTGAAAGATCAGAATTTCAATACCTACTCTTACCTCTAGTCATACGACCTCAGGCTGTTTCCTCATCTATAAATCTGGGATTATAATACCTACTTTAAAGAGTTACTGAGTAGACTGAACAAGTCATGTATGTAAAAGGCCTTTAAGTGTGGTGCCTAGGACACAAGAGATTTTAATAAACATCCTATCTTTTTGTTATTATAGTTGAGACTTTATTATCCCCCTACCCTCTTTAAAGTTGATAGTTTGAGCCATGTCCCTGTCCCCATTCAGCCCGGGGTCAAACATTCAGAGCCTCTTGGACTCTAAACTCAGTCAGTCTGGGTTCCGATTGGGTGATTAGTTCCTTGTAATGAAAAACTTTTTCCCTGAATAACAAGTTAAACTCTGTTACCACATGACTTTTCAGAAACTATTATTAGCCTCTCCTATTAACTGTCTTCTGCCCAGACTCCAGTCTGCTCCTGTGGGTAGCTCAGCTCTGGAACGCATGACAAGCTACTGCTCAGTGTCAGTTTCATTCCTTCTACCAATCCCAATTCAGCTAAAAACATACCTTGTCTGTGGAGCTTCTCCAAGGCGACCTTCCTGATATACAATTATTTAGCCTGTAGTTCCGTGGGTTTTCCTGCCTGCCACTGTGCTCTAGAGCACATGAGGACACTTATTTCCTAGGTATCATCTAGCTGTCCCAGATCTGTATATCCAACTGCTTAACAGTCTCTTTGTAGTCTCCAACCATGTTGTCTGAGATAACCTTTATCTACCTGAGGAGATTTCACTAAATATGCAGGGGTGAGGGAGGAATGTGGAATTGTTACCTCTGGGCCTCAGCATATTCCCTTCTTGGCCATTGTTGTTTGTGGTTCTTATTCTGATCTTTACAAGTCAGTGTCTCTGTAAGATCTGTAAGATGTTCCTGTTGCCCTTCCAGAAAGAGCCTGTTATGATCCTATCCTGAAACTGTGTGTGGACCTCTCCATTTTAAAGAGTAATCTACATGTAAGTATTTTACAAGTGGTAAAGAGTGGTTAACTAAATTTATCTCCAAGCCCAGCTTAATTCAGTAACAGATTTTCATTTGAACCCTCAATACCAAAGCACACAGAAACTTAGAACTGAGGAGGACCTAGACATTCAACATACCTAATCCCTCAGCCTAGGCTGGAATCGCCACTCCAACATGTCTAAGAAACATCTATCAAACTTCAATATAACAATAATAAAAACAACAGTTAACATTCACTGAATGTATGCCATGTGTCAGGCACTTGGAAATCACCTTACATGAATTTAATCACCACAATCACACTATGAAATAGGTACTACTGATATATCTGTCTTACAGATAAGAAAACTAATGATAGGTGATGAAGCCAGGACACCAGCCAAGACAGCCTAATTCCAGACTCCATGTATTCACCCACTGTGCAAACTGCCTACTGTTGAGGACTCCTAGTGACAAGTACTCTAAAGGCCAGCTATTACAACAGTCCTATACGTTAGAGTGTCTTTCTTATAATTAGTCAAAATTTGCATCCTTATCGCTTCCTCACACAGTTAGTTCCTCTGGAGCACAGATACACTAACTATCACGATGACCCTTTTCTTAATGTGTACCCAGTAATTCAACCCTGAGAATCAGGTAACAAAATTTTAGGATTTTTACAACTAGAAGGGGCTTTGAAGATCACTTAATCTAATCCCATCATTAAACAAATGAGGAAATAGGACAAAAGAATTTTAAGTAGCTTATCCAAAGCTAATAGTGGCAATCCAGTGCACTGAAATAATCAATCCGTGAACATTATATCACCTTCCCCAGGGAGTATAAACTCCTTTCAAAGAAGCAATGTGCTGAAGGCAGAGAAGGAAAAATCAGATTTTTTGAATAACTGTGTTGGAACAAAGTGTTTAGTTCATAAAGAATATCATTTCACTATTTCCAAAATTAAAAGAAACTGATGTTTTTAGAATACTATCTTTATTTTCATCTAATTTAAATGAGCAGCATATCTTATGTAAAAAAAAAA